ACTCGACTCGAAAAAAATGAGTCGAATAGAGTTGGTCTTTAAACTCGACTCGACTCGACTCATTCGGAACTCTAATTCTTCTGGTAGGGATTTTGATAATAATTTCTCTGATAGGAGTTTTGGTAATAATTCTTCTGGCAGAAATTTTAGTAGTAATTCTAATAATAGTAATTTTGATTCTGATTTTAATAATATAAATATATTTACAAAATATATCACATTTATTAATATAATGAAAATAAATTAAAACTTGAAGATAAGGATTTAACTTCAAAACATAAGTTACGACTTAAGGCTATTCAATATTTATTTATAATTACTTAATAAAAGTCATGCAAAAATTAGAAACAAGTCAAACTGTTATAAACCTTTTTAATTGGAGAATATAATTTGCTCACTATGTTAGAAATTAGTCAAAGGTATTTATCAATTATGATGATGTTCCTAAAATAATTATGGTAAACATCTTAAAGGAAGTAGCATCATTAATAATAAGAATATTAAATTAAAGGTGATATCATACTATGATAACATAAATTTATATTTAGTTCTTCACTTATATTTTATATTAACTATTAAATTTTTCTAAAGTAGGAATAAAAGTATATAATAATATTTTTATTAATTATAAAGTTATAATCAAAGCAGATATCTTTTATAAAAGCTAAAAGATGGTAAATTCATGAAAAATTTTATAGATTATTAATCTTCATTAAGCAGAAGATCTAGAAGAATATATTTTAAATAATGCAAAATGATTATTTTCTAATGAAAACAATTATTGACAAATTATAAATGATTACAAATCCTAAATAAAATAACTAATTCAAATTAGGTTGAGATAAAAATGAAAATATTTTAAATTAAATAAATAATCAAAAGTAAATTAATAATAAAAAATATATTAAATAATCTATTAATTTGAATTAAAAGATTGATTGCAAAAAAACTTTGCAACTAATATTAAATTCAATCTTTATGAAATATTTAGCATTTTTTCATTAATTTTAATATATTGTAAAACTTCTATTTAATAGAAAATATAATTTTTAATACTATTTATAAAAAATTATATAAATAAATTAATTTAATTATATAATTAAATAACTAGATTCATTATAATTATTAGTTAAAAACCAGCTTTAATAATTGAAGTAATGTATATATTTTATTTAATATTTTATTTTATTTTATTTTAGTTCTAATTAGTATCTTTTTTTAAGCTAAAAACCAAATAGAAATTTTAATGAAACCATCTAGTTTATTATTAAAGTGAAGATAAGCTAACTTGAAATTAATTATTTTTTAATATTTTTGTTTTTTTTAAAATTTTATTTATTTATTTTATTTTAGTTTAATCAGTTCTTTATCTTAAGCTAAAAATTAGATAACTTTTACATAAAACTATTTAATTTATTATCACAGTAAATATAAGTTATTAGATTTTTTATTTATTTGTTTTTTATATTTATTTATTTTATTTAACTTTGATCAGTTTCTTCTTATAAACTAAGAATTGGATGGAATTTTCAAATGGAACTATCTGATTCATTATTATTATGAAGATAAACTAACTAAATATTAATTATTTTTTAGTTATTTTTTTATTTTATTTATTTTAGTTTGATCAATTTCTTTTCTTAAGCTAAGTATTGAATAGAACTTTAAAATAGAACTACAGTCAATCCTTTCTAAATGCATACACTATATATTTTCTCTCTAAATGCATACTTTTGTTCAGTTCTAAACATATAAAATTCATATAAAAATTTTCTCTTTAAATGCACACCCTCTTTAAATACATATTTTTTAAAATTTTCACTATAGTTTTGAGGGGATGCATTTATAGAAAGTTAACTGTATCTAATTCATTTTTATAAAGTAAAGATAAGCTGAATAATTTTTTTTGATTTATTATTTTTTTTATTTTATTAATTATTTCTAATAACTAATTTTATTTATTTTATCTATTTATTTGATTAATTGTTTTATTTTTTCTTAGGTGATTTTAAATTAGATCAAATTGGATCTTAATCAGTAATGAATATAGGTGACTAAAATTATTTTTTAATGCATTATTTTTATTTTATTATTATTCTTTTTATTATTTAATTAGTTTTATTTTTTTAGGCTAAATTAGTTCATCTCTTTGGCTGAAATCATCAATTTTTATTGTCATAGCATAGATTTTGACAAATTCTTAATTTTATTAGTATTTATCATTACTTTAAATATTAATAATCATAATCATTATAATAACTAATCATTTTTTTTTATATAATCATATAATAAAAATTATAAAAAAACTTTCTTTATTTATTCATGTTCTAATTTTTTTTTAAATCATCTATTGTTTTTATTAATATTGATATTGTAATTGAAATTGATATTAATATTAATATTAATTGAATATAAAAATAGTTTTTATAGTTCCTGCATAAAGCTAACCAAATTTATATCTATTTCTTTCTTTTTAAAAATGATTATAGCTAATATTATATAAAATAAAATCATCTGACATCAAAACTATATAGCATGAATTATATTTAGTGTTAAATACTTTTCATATTTGTTAAAATTAATTATATAAATTGCATAATACATATCTTTAATAATAATCAAAAATAAAAAGAATATTTTCATATGAAATTAAATTGTTATTATAAATTTACTTAAACTACTGTAAGAATAAAATTATAACAAGATCCTAGGATTTCTTTCTTAATTGATAAGTTAACAAATTACTTTTACTAATAACTATTAACTGATATGAATAAGATTTATCTAAATATGAATCAATTAATTCTCAATTAGATTTAGTTTATAAAACTATAGATTATAATCTATTAAATATTTGATAAACATCTCTAAAGTTTCTTTATATAATTTCTTATTATTGTTTGCTTTATACAATTTTAGCTTGATATCTGTAAACTTAAATGATAAACTTTTAATTCAATCTGTTAAATTAAATATAAGACAATATCACAATCATGCCTATATAAAAATACGATAAAAGATAATAGTAAATGAATTTAATGATTTCTTTATTGAACTCTTAGTTTATCCTAAAATTTTAACTTGAGTTACTTTTCAATTTAAGGGAAAATATAAGATATTTATATAAAATAAAATAATATAAAATATATGATAACAATATAATAATAAAGATAAATAAATATATAAGATAAATATAACTACTTTATTAACTATAATATAATTAACAAGTATAATGATTATAACTAATCAACTTAATATATTAAATAGATTAATGATAACTATTTTAGCAATTTAGTCTAATTTGTTCACTTTGTCAACTTTGTTAATCATTTTGATTATATGACTAATTAAGGTGCAGTCACAGATTATAGTTTTAATAAGTACATGCTAATATTATTTGAATATTTTTAAAACACATCTTTGATTACATTTAATAACTTTCATATTTTCAACAGTTTAGCTGTATTTTATTATAGCAAATTTGCAAAGAAATCTATATGATTGTAAATGTTGTTTGCTTTCTTTAAATTAGTTTCAGCATAAAGAAGAACTTTAAATTGGACTTTAATCATCTTAGTTAAATAGAAAATTAAACTTATCTACAAAGAAAAGAAAATTTAGAAAATTATATTAAAATAAATATGATCTTAAATTCTTATCTTGCCACATTCTGCTTTATCTCTAATTATAATTGGAATTTACATGAATTTTTAATGGAATTAATTCATCTTTATTTAAATTATAACAAATAAAATGTATTCAAGAAGTTTTAAATATTTTATAGATCTTTGTGCCAAAAATTCTAATTTTGCAAAGAAAGTATTATAGTAAATGCTCTTTATAACAAACTGACAGATCCATTAAAAAAAGGGTCATTATATAAATTACTATACTTTATATATAAATTATTACACTTTTTATAATGAACTATTATTAAAATTTAAAAATTATGAGTTCATTATATCTAGTGTTTATTATAAAGAGCTTTATTATAATTAGCTTTGACTGTATATAATTTCTAATTTGATTGATCTCTGATTATTTGACTTTTTAATAGAATCTTAATGTTGAATCTTATAGTACAGTAAAGATATACTCTGAATTTGATTAATCTGAATATCCAGTCATCTATTTAAAATTTGATCAGATTTGGATTGATCTATTTATATTATCAAATTGACTAGATAAATCATTAGATATCCAGTGAACAAATTAGATTTACTCACTCATTTACTTACATTTATACTCACACTCACTCTCTTACTTTCTCTCTTTCTCTCTTTTTCTTCCTTTTTCTTCCTTCTTCCTTCTGGACCTTTTATTTTGAAATGGTTAAAATTTTAACTTAGATGACTTGAATTCAAATAATAAATATAAAATTCTCCTTTTTTGCTTTAGAAATATTACTAATTTTTATTTTACTTTTTTCTTTAAGAATGTTTTTTTGGACTTAGATTTTGGTTGGGCTAAAAAGGTAAGTTAGTGTTTTTTTCTTTGTTATTAGAAACATCATTAATATTCCTTTTACTTCTTTTCTTTAGGAAGATGCCTTCTTAAATTAGATTTCAGCTTAGGCTATAAAGGTAAATTAGTGTAAAGAATTAATTTTGATTTTCTTTGTTTTTGAAATACCATTAATATTCTTTTTCTTGTGCATTTTTTTTATTTTTTTTTATCTTTGGAATGCTATTGATATATAGATTAGTAGAAATAGACTTAGATTTTTGAATGTTACTTGTATTTCTTGGATAAAAATTTTACTATTCATAAAATTATTCTTATAATTAAACAAATTAGATATCCTCATAATGCATAAAATATATCTAATGCATTATTTATTATTTTAGATGAGTGGAATTTAAAAAATATAATAAATGTAATAGTAACTGATAATGAGACTAATATGAAAAAAAATGAATAAAATTGCTTCAAATATAAAGTGACAATCATATATTATACACATTATAGTTAGTAGTAGAAAAAGGGTTAATTTCTGTTAAACTATTAATTTTAAGAATAAAATAACTGATTAATTTTTTTTTAAAACCAAAATAAATCAAAGATTAGAGGAAATTCAAAAAAAAATTACAAAACAAAGTTAATATGATAAAGATTTAATTTTATAATTTATGTTTATTAATTATTCAAATTATTTTTATATTTATATAATAATTTTTATAATATTTAAAATGCTGGTAAAACTAGTGATTATTTCTTTCAAGTGATTGCAGATATTTTAATTAAATAGAATTCAAGTTATTATGCTTAGAATAGATTAATTAAAATCAAAGGTTATATTCAAATACTAATTGTAAAATTAGTAAATAATGAAAGTACTGATGTAAAAAAAGATGAAAAGCAACTTGAAAAAATCATATTAAGTTCTGATGAATAGGAATTTTTATAAGAATTAATTATAACACTTGGTCTATTTGAAGAAGCAATTGGTTATTTTGATGAAGAAAAATATATTACACATAGTATTATAAATCTAATAATTAAACAAATTAAACATTTATTATTTTTATCATTATCTAATTTACCTAATTTATCTATATCTATATTATTTATATCATCTACATTACCTACATTATCTACATCATTTATATTATCTACATCAGCTGTAACAGCTTTTATCATATCAGAAATATATCAAAAAATTGAAAATGCTGCTGATGTATTTATTATAATAGAAGAAGTAAAAATATTAGAAAATAATGTTATTAAAAATAATAATAATCAAACTAAAAAAAAATTTAATTTAATTTAGATAAATCATTAGAAACTAAAGATCTTTTAGATAAAATAAGAAATGATCTTTATAATACTATGTGTTTTTATTGAAAAGTTTTATTTGAAGATTACTTAATATCAACAATACTTGATTCTAGAATCAATTTTATGAATAATAAAATAGAAGAAGAAGAAATTTTATATAAAATATATGAAGAATATAAGGAAAATTATTTACCAACTTCTAATAAATCTTAATCTTCATCTCTAACTCCATCTGAATTATTAATAATCTTAAAATCAATTTACAAACCTAGGTTTTTTCAATATTTGAACAAAATTAACCAAAAGCATTTGATGAAGTTGAAGAATATGTAAAAGAAAATAAGATTTCTTTTAATCAATATCCATTTAATTGATGGTTAAATAATAAAAATTATATCCAATTCTTGCTAAAATGGCAAGAATTCATTTAGCATTCTGCAACATCAACACTATCAGAAAGGTTATTTTCTGATGCAGAAAATTTACTTTTAGCAAAAAGATCTAGAATGAATTTAGAACTTTTTCGATGTATAATGTTTTTTAAAAAAAATACAATTAAAGTTAAAAGTATTTATGAATATTTATTTATATTTTAAATCAATTATTTGGTATAATTTATTATAAATAACTTGTTAATTTATTAAAATATTATAAAACTTATTTAAACCTAAACTCATAATTTTAAAGATTTTTATTTTTTTTAAAAAGAAGCAAAAGTTCTAAATAAAAATAAATAAATAAAATTTTCCTTCCCAAAATTCAAGCTAAAATCCAGATTCTGAAAAGTATCCCAAAGAAAAAAGAAAGAAATGTAAATGATTTTTAAAGATAAATAAATGAAAAATGAAAAAACACCCTCCTAACTTACCTTTCATAGCTTAAGTTGAAATTCAGATCCAGAAAGGCGTTCCCTAAAAAAAATAAGCAAAAGAACCGGTAATGACGTTCTAAAAATAAAAAGAAAACAAAAAACCCACCACAACTTACCTTTAGCTGAAATCCAGGTTTAGGTAGCATCTCCTAAAGAAAAGAAGTAAAAGGAACGTTAATGTACTTACCTTCATAGTCCATCCAATCTGAAATCCAGGTCCAGGAAGGCGTCCCCTAAAGAAAAGAAGCAAAAGGAATATTAATGGCATTCAAAAGATAAAGAAGAAACAAAAACAATCCTCACACCATCTTACCTTCATAATCCAAGCTGAAATTCAGGTCCAGGAAGGTGTCCCCTAAAGAAAAGAAGCAAAAGGAACGTTATTAGCGTTCTAAAGACAAAGAAAGATAAAGAAATAAAAACAATCCCTCACATCACTTACCTTCATAGCCCAAGCTGAAATCCAGGTTCAGGAAGGCGTCCCCTAAAGAAAAGAAGCAAAAGAAATGTTAATGACGTTTACAATAATAAAAAAAAAGCAAAAACATCAACTTACCTTTATAGCCCAGCCGAAATTCAGGTCCAAGAAGGCGTTCTCTAAAGAAAAGAAGTAAAAGGAACATTAATGGTGTTCCAAAGACAAAGAAAGACAAAGAAAAACAAAAAAAAACCCACACCTAACTTACCTACATGACCCAAGCTGAAATCCAGGTCCAAGAAAGTGTTCCCTAAAGAAAAGAAAGAAAAGGAATATTAGTAACATTCCAAAAAAAAACCAAATTTACCCCATTCCAACATAATTTTTAATCTAAGCCATCCAAGTAAATTCCGAAGTCCAAGTCTATGTCTATGTCCGATCCTAATCAATCCACATAACTTCCGATCAATCTGATGTTATCTGATGGATCATTCAGATTATTCGCGTATCTGTTCATTCATAATCTGAATGATCTGTTATTTGATCAGATCGGATGATGGATTGAACAGATTTCACTGGAGCATACATCTATAGTACAGTCATTCCAAGATTCCTATTATCTGCATTCATAGATTCAAATTGCACTGCTTTAGATTTGATAAATATAGTTGCAAATTCTAAAAAAAAAAACTAGATAGGCCTGCAAGAACAATAAATCTTAAATGAATAAATATTTCTCAGGATCTTTATTAAAGAAATATTTCGTATAAAATTTTTTATGAAGTTTCTCCAGTAAGGTCTGATTACTTTCAGTTCTGAAAAGGATGTCTCTTGTATTTATTTCTTTATAATCATGGAAATCCAATATTCAGAAATCGCGTTTTATTAAAAATAAGCGCCATTGAAACTTCTTGTTTGCAAGATGGTAATCGAGCTTTGCTGTTTCTGTTTTTGTGCATGATTGGTTATATTTTGCCTATAATAATTGCTCGTTAAATATTTAACCTCTTATTATAAATAAAATAAAATAATTAGTAAAAAGTAATAAAAATTAATAAATACATTTACCAGTTTTCAGTTTATCCTTTAAGTAATCTTTCATATTTCTGTCAATGAAAATTTTGTTCAAACATTCTATCGAAATATCACACTTAGTCAATATAGGTTGTTAATTATTTTCTGACAATATCCAATTGAGCAAAAAATTCATCCATAACATTTTTAACATTTTGCTTCTTTATCATATATTTTAACTTTAGATTTTGGTTTTTGCTCATCGACGTAAATCTAAAATCTCATTTAGATTATACATCACGTTAGATATTTTAATGAGACAAATCATTTATTGTCCATTTGGTGTGATAGCAAAGAAATTCATTATATTTCTATAAATCGAATTTGTGATACCTATAATATCCAAATTGCGATTGTCTTTAATACTGGATTCTTTTAATACAATTGTTGTTTCCACGGAAAAAAGGGCTTGATGAAAGAACAACAAAATTGTACTGAATACCAAAATCTAATATCGTAATCGGATAAGATTGCCAATATGTTAGATTTCAAATAAATGGTTGATAATGCTTTTATGCTACCAATAACTATAGAACCTTTTCGTGTTGAGAGTCCACTCGATATACCAATTTCCAACCATATCTGGGTAGGTCTGAAATTTTCATGAGGATATAGCATGAAATTGAAGCTTCATTTGGTTAGGTAGATGCTTGAATAAGGAAATGTTATGCAACATTTGTTGTATGTTGTCTCCTTGTATTCGTGCTATAAGATAATATTTAAGAACTAAAGATTTTAATAGTGACGGATGGATAATAGGACTGAAACAATCCATGAATAACAGCCACTAAACTTTCGCTTGTGAAAGTGTTTCATAGTTGAGTTGTCATTTCTCACGAAATTCTTCATCAGATTTCCGCTAAACTCTACGCTTTTCTCCATAGTAAGTGTCTTATGAATTACATTCAGTAAATTAGTTTTAGGCATAACATATCTCAAATTTTCTTGGACGAATCGTATTATATATTTTCTTACCTCCATTTGACTTGACTTTTTTATAGCTTTGAAGTCTAATTTTCTTCTAAGACATAATTTATCATTTTTTTTGCTTAGATACTGTATGATTTGGTGAAACTCGTATATATTTTAATCTTGAGAAAACTATTGCTCACCCTAACTTTTTGCGAAATGAAGACTAAACTAAATGATATGCGTTATCGATCATAATAAATTATTTTTGATTTGAAATATAGTTTTAAATAACAAACGTAATGGAAATGAATCATAAAGCAAAGATAATGAAATAAAGATTAAAAATGGAGGCGATATTAGAAATTTGAAGAAATAAAAATTGTGAAAATTGCGATATTAATATTATAAAAGAATCTTTTTAACAAGAAAACTTTTGTTATTTTATTGTTCCATATGTTGAAATTAATTAAATATTTAAATATAAAGTCATTGTTTGAGCTAAAATTGAAAGAATAAAAAAAGTATATATAAAAAAATTAGTGCTAATAAAAAGTATGATCAAGATCATCAGACAATAATTTATTTGTTTATCACATGAATAAAACAATTCAAAGGGATGCGAAATTAAATAATTATAACTTCTTATGAGTATTGTCGTTGTGGGATAGTGCGTGAGATTTCCTAGCCAGCTATCCTCGGGTACGACTCCCACAACGTGCAATATTGGATGCTGTTATGACAACAAGTTTCTAATAAGGTGAATGAATGATCTTCATTCATTCCATGGGATGTCGATGATCCTATCCACCCATGTTATGATAGATGTTCCGGCCAAAGGTTCCCATGTTGGATCAGAGTTTGTTATCGACTTTGTGGGGTCTAGGTGGTAGTTGGCTATATCAACTATGTGCCCAATTTCCCCAAAGCGTGGGAGTAAGCGATAACTACCCTGGTTTCATACCTAGAGGCAAGATGTCAGCAATTATCCAATCCACTCAATCTTCTTTATTTTTATTTTAAGATTTCTTAAATATTTACTATTTTGTTAATTTGTTTCGTCTATTTTTATTATTATCGCTATGTCCCACTAAACATGTAATAAATTATGAAAAAATTCAATTTCTCGCTAAAACTTGTAAAATTATTCGAGTAGAAACAATAGATAACTTAAAATTAGTTTTTTTCGGCTGATTGGAAAAGATCTTTTGTATTTTTTTTGTACTTTATATTTGATTTTAATATCTGAAATTGATTCATATGACCCGGGCAACCGGATTTTTATATTTAGAAAGAAAATTTTTTAATTTTACTTTAGGATTTTGTTGTTACACAACCCGACTACTTGGTCAAGTATTTCTTAACGCTAACTAATCATTGGTGTTTATAAAAACTTAATATAACTCTATCTCTAACCCTAATCCTAGTTCTAACATTAAACTTGTAATTGTTGTAATTTATTAAATTTTAAATTTTTAATTTATTTATTAATTATTTATTTTTTAATGTAATTTATTTTTTGTATTTTTATTTAGTAAATTTTTTAATTTTTAAAAATTTAAATATAATTTTATGAGAAATTTTTTAATT